GGCGTGCAACGACTGTACTAGCTCCAAGCACAGTCAATGAAGTAGCTCAGTCGCAACAAAGTATCAGTTGCGGCCCCCTCATACCGAGTCAACCAGTTAACTGACTCAAGCGTTGGTAGCCCGACCAGCCGCTCTCCTGCTTCCGCCACAGACTTTACTCATCCGACAGATAGCGCTACAACCAACAGGTAAGCCCCCATCCTTGCGGCCGACTCCACGTCCCCCGGCCTTTGCTACTCAGTGTAGCAGACGACCCTCCGATTCTGCAACTCGTCTTAAGCAGCTTACTTTGTCGGATGGGCGGCATACCAACTAAAGAGGTAAGCCACCAACCCCGCCCTGCGTCCTCCGCCTAACCCCACCTCTCCATAGCATGTAGAAAACAGTAGCGAGGGGCTGCCTTCATTGATAGAATGAGCAGCGCCGAGCATACGGGTAAGCCTCCGACCTTACAACCGACTTCACGCAGCTTGTTCCCACCAGATTCACAAAACCGAATGAATCTGCCCACAAATGCGGTTAGGTTCATCCCCCTCTTTGACAAAGGCTAGGCCACTCCCCCGGGCGCAGTTCTTGCACCCCGTCTCACTAAATCGGCCACTCTACTACGAAATCCGACACTACCATCCACACTTTCATTCCAGTCGACTCGGATTCGCAGCAGCCTCGGATCTCTAAACTTACCCTCCCCCTCGCCCGACTTCACTCAGACACGAGCGCGACAAACCTCTCTTACTCCCCACCTTCTTGCTCCCGCCATCTCCACGCAGACCTTTTTCTTATCTAGTCCTCATTCTACCCTACTAAATTCAAAGCTAACGGTGCCATTGAAATCGCCCTATGAAAAAACCTCTGTCCCGACCTTCATCCTCCCCGATCCCATCTAGAATCGAGTACTATCTCTACTTCCCTTTCTACTTCATTCCTCCTTTCACCATGTCCTCGCGCAGCTCGTTTCGCTATTAACTCTCTTTCTACTAATCTAACGACCAGACTAACCTCACCATTCGACTCGCCATGGTCGAAGACCCCCACGTCGCTTCTTCCCCCACCTAAACTCGATCAGCGCACCTCGAACCCCGTTCTTCCTACCGCGCCACGCTTACTCCCCTTCCGCACCTGCCACCTTTTGCTTACGATCCCCTGCACATTGACATCATTCCGGCCCAGCACCCACGGTCGAATCAGCGCACTACGACCAGCTCCTCCGAAGGCCAAGTCGAGAAAGGCACCGGTGCGGACAAAGCAAAAAAAAAATAAAAAACGGGCAACGGGAGAGTGCTTTCCGACTTATACGCGTCGGCCTGCTCACAGGGGCCACGCAGATCTTCTCTGTATCGTTCCAATTTTTACGAATGTCCCGCGGCCGCACCAAGGGCCAGACACTCCTTTCCTTTGCCTCCCCCGCATGCACCTGCCCCGGTTCCCACCTAGATTCAGCCCTGGGCCTTCTAGCTACGATCGCCACTTCTCCGTGGTTGACCGTGTGAACCTCCCCGATATCGCCCCGCCTCGTCAGCAACTCCGCACCACCTTTCTGAGAATCGGATTCTCCTCTGAAAATTTGCTCTCCTTGGCTATGCAGATCTTCTTTTTTGCACTCAGGTTCCTCCCTTTCGGGCTCTATACACGTGGACCTTGCGCAGAGGCCATGCTAATCTTCCCTATATCGTTTCAATTTCAACAGATGCCCCGAAGGACCCTGCGTGTGGCACGCCCTTTCCCTTTTTACTCGCACCCGGCCCCCTTCCGCGCCCGAATCCACTCCGGATTCCCGCACGATATCCTCGCCCTGTGGAACAGGAAGCAAGGCAGTGGCCGGCATCCCTCCGCGCATACTACCCTGGCCTCTTCTCCTTTGCACGCCCCGGGTCGGATCTGCGTCCGGGTCCATCCCGGATTTATGCACATCATCCTTGCGCAGCCGGCCAAACAAATCTTCTTTGCATCATTTCAATTTTCTACAGGTGCCCCTAAGGACTTCCGGTCGTGGCCGCCTCTTTACCCTCTTTGCACGCGCCTGCCCTGCATTACATCCAGGTTCTCCCCCGGAGTCACGAGCGCCGGCCTTGCGCAGCGGCCTGACACACCTGTCCCGTCTCGATCCAGTCTTTTACGGATGCCCCGAGGAACGCAGCCTGTGCCGCGGAGGCAACGGCCCCAGGCAATTCGGGATACATGACTTTACCCACCACGGTTTCGCGCTCACATACGGGCGTGAAAAATAGTAGTAAAGAAACATTCAAAATAGATAAATCATATATAAATAGATATATATAACCCCGCAGACGTGCGGCAATCGGGCGGGAACCGCGGCCGCCATGATTGTAAAAGGCGAGGGGGATAGTCCCACGGGCCCATCAACCCCTCAAGCCTTTCGCCGCTCCCGCACCGCCGTCCGCTGGCCTCGAGCCCCGAACCTCCGCCTCACGAACCCGGCACCGTAACCAATAGGGCTAAACCCAAACCTGTGACCTGCAAGCGCGGCTTCCCATACAAAGTGGTACCGCACGGCGCTCCGGGCTAAGATACCGCCTTGGCCACGCTTTCCAGCCCACATTTGTACCCACAGCCCCTAAGTGCCCACACTGGGCCACCGCCCCGCACCGTGGCCATCCCATGTGCCTACGGGCACGCCAATCCTACCGTCGATCGCACGCGCCGACCAAAAACGGACTTTCATCCCCTAACCAATCTTGTGGCCGAGAACGGGTCGGCCGGCTACCCTGGCCACTCACTCAATCAAGAAAATCACACTCGCGCCTTAAAATTGCGCGCCCACATACCTCCTACCAGGACACGGCAGACCTTTGCCCGCGCGCTTACGACCTTCGCATTTCCAGCACGGACACTCAAAATCCAGGTTAACCGAGTCTCCCTTTCATTTGCAAAAACCTAGGGCGGATACCCTTGTAAGGGTATTCGCGCCGACAACTTACCGGACTATATTAAGCGACGTCCCCGTCGCGTCGCCAAATCAAAAAGCTATCGATTCCTTCACACTCCAAATGCTGACGAGATTGGAACCAATCCGATTAGCCGACAGACTCAGTGTTGAGGCCTCCATCAAATCGTGCTAACATAACTATATGCTGCCAGGGTTTTAACCTGGGTCCCCATTGTCCTGACACCAGGACGCTGGTGTATTATGCATCAATACTACAACATAAGTTCCAAAGGCCCCGAAACCATCCTCTTCCCCTTTCGTCCTAGACAACCGTCGGTCTCTCGTTGGGTGTCCCAGTTAGCCTCTTTCTCGTAAGCAGAGTCATGACTAGGGACACGGGCTTTGAATGGGACCTATGAAGGCATTCTTGCCTTCTTTCAGCAATTTTCTCACCATCAAACAAAATACATATATACAGCTTATAGCCTCTCTCGGCCTTTCCTGCAGTCTAGTACAGAAACACCAGGTCTCCATCTGAGCCCACCATATTGTTACCTTAGCGGCGGTATCCTCCCGTTGGTTACACAACGATAGGCGTTTTTCCTGACAATCAGTCAGTCAGGATTTTTCCAAAAGACTCGACTCCCATCCCGCGGAGTTAATTTCTCTGGGGCGGGAACCTCCCCTTAAACTCTTACCTCGCGGGCCCGCAGCCAGGTTGTGCCGGCTTGCAGCCATCCACTAGGGGTTACGCCTAAGTGGCATTAAACTTTACCGTTATCTTGGTATTCATTTAAATATGTCTCAGAATTAGCACAGGTGGCCCGGCGGGGCATCACAAACAATTCGCAGGCCACTGCGGGACTATGCAGGGGTCTAAAGGTATTTACCGACCCTCCTATGATAGGTGCGGCATCCCATGCTCAATCACAAACAGTCTCCCCGCCGGATTCATAAGGCCACGGCCCCTGACTTGATCAGAGCCAGCAGTCGCCCACCCTGAGGCATCTCTCGCCCTTTTCAACCACTTCAAGCAAACCTGGCTCCCTCTCGTCAGACTTTATCAACACAAGACAATGTTACCCACGCCATTCAATTTTTACCCACCCTTACTTAGTAAAGGGTGCCTCTCACAAAAGATTTCCCGGCCATCCCCTTTTTGTATGTGATGACACTTCACACAACCTCTTCCAACCATGAAGGGGATTTGATAACAATGCAATTCCCTCCTCCCAGAACCATGAAGGGGGGTCTTAATCACCAAACAAACTGAAACTGAGGGACCATCTTCTGGGTCTCCGTACAACTTAGGCAATCAATATTTGGTGTGGCTTAAACATGCAAATTTTTAAAACCATCAATCCCGTAAGATTCTCACATTTTTTTACAAACAGGCCGCACTCCCCCTCCTTATACTCTGCCCTCTCGTCCGCTTGCAAGCAGACCGCACGAGTACATAATCATGCCCATGAGATGTATCCTGTACGCCCCTCACACAAAGCCAATCATACATCAGGATAAAGCCACACATGTGAGAGTGGTAGTGGTCGTCACAAGACAAGTCCCATAGAATCTCAACTCATGATATACTCAGGGAGTAGAATGCCTCCCTCAAAACTCAAACACAAACACTTAACTCAAACTCTGTCCATCTGAGCATGGTTTCCAACCCCCCTGTACACCCGCGGAACACGCTCTGGGAAACAACATCTACTCAAAATCTAACGGGTGCCTAACTCCCCCATCTCACCTAACTAGGGAAACTCATACCCAAGTCTCTTTCAACTCAAGTAGTCTCCGAACCGCAAAATAAAAAATGGACTGAGTAGCCCCATGTATCCTACGGCCAACCCTCATGCCCTAAGCCAATTATATGTGTACAAGCAGGCAAGGACTCATCCTACCATCTCTAAAGTATGCACACATCTAGGGCCCCCTTAGCCATATGTACACCTCCAACCCGCCCCCCTGTGTGCCAATTACTCTGTCCTTACTAACACATAGACAGACCAGTCCCTACTTACACAATTCCTCCTGGTTCTGCCTATACAACTGAGCCCTGCCCCCATCTGGAGCTCGCTCTACTATCCTGCCCTGCTTGTCATAAAACTTGTCGTTGAACTCCGCAACTCATCCCCCGGCCTTATCCTCAAGGAGCTCTGGGCAGTCCACGGCTCTATGCCCTTCCTCCTTGCACCAAAAGCAGGAGATATCGTGCCACCTGGCAGTCTTCTTCTTTCTCCCATGTGACCTCGATGCCGAAGGCGTCCCGATGGTCTCAGTAGTCACCTCATGACACGAGGGCAATCCCATATGGCCCTGAGGTTCAGGCTCGATAGCCTCAGCACCCTCACCCCCTCGTACGGTTGTGCTCACTGGTCTGCAGCCTGGCGTATCCAACTCTCGGGGTCCCTCCTTATGAGCCCTCTCTATCACAACCACCGCCTCATCCCCGCATGATCCTGATGGCTGAGAGCCCACCATGGCGCTGGGCTCACTCATGACCTCCTGCTGCTGCTGTTGCCGCGAGTCAGGCCCTCCTGAGTCCATCTCCGTGGCCCAGGAGCCCAGCTCCACCTTCAGCTCTCCCAACCTCGGGGCATGCTCTGGAGCGCTGAGTCTCTGAGGCCCCTCCTGTGGCGTGCCTATCCCCATGGCTGTCGCAAATCATGCAAACTCGAACCTCTCCTCTCCGTGGACATGGCCATGAGCGACTCCTGTGCGCCACCCTCCTCTTCGGCTGCGTCCAAGGGCACCCCCTCCATTGGCTCGGCCTGTCGAGGGACCTCCACTGCTGCTCCCTGACTCAACGAAGCCTGCATCCCTCGGCCTTGGTCATCGGCACCAGCTCGCCCCGTCGGGCTAGCCTCCCAGGCTGCCGAGAGCCTATCCGCAACAGCCGTCATCTCCCCAAATCTCCTCTCCCACTCAACCTCTCTGGCCTGGCTCCTTGCCCTCTCCTCGCCAAGCTGAGTAGTCAGGTGTTCCACCTCCAACTCTCTGACCCTGAGCTCATTGCTGAGTAGATTATACCACTAGAAAGATGTAACTGCCGTCTCGCATATCCTTCGATCTATGCGCTCAATCGCCTGCCTGGTCGCGGAGAACCCCAAGTCCCCCATCTCTCTCAGCTCACCCGCCCCCTCGTCCGCCTGTCCCGTCTCTCGTGACCTTTGGCGGGCTGCATCCCTCTGGCTCTCATACCTGGCCCACAACTCGTCGATCCTCTGCTCACTCGTCTCTGGCTCGACCGGCGGTGTCGGCTCTATTCCTGCTGCCTCCATCTCAGCCTGCCTCGCGTGTATCTCATCCAGACGGACCCACACTCGGGCGGACTTCTCTTCACGGGTCTCCCTTAGGGTTCTTCTTACTCGCGGCCCCTGGCCTTCCGGATTCGACGCCTCAGCCCCCATCCCCTCGTTCGTGCATGGCACTGCTAGCGGTAACTCCGCTGGAAAAGGCTCCTCGATAACTGGGCTCTTGGTCACGTGCGTGGCCCATGGCAAGTCAAGGGGCGCCTCCACCCTCGCTCTCTCACACACTCCCTGACCCTCCGCCTCTGCCTCCTTTTCAAGCATAGCGGTGGCTTCAGGGGAAAACTCCGGAATCTCCTCGCTGCCTCGCTCAGGAATCCTCTCTGACCATGAATGTTGTGTTGGGTCCGAAACTGGGGAGCATGGAGGGGTATCGTCTCCGACCGTGATCACCTCCTCGCCCTGAGGTCGTACCGGATCCGGCTGCTCGGCTGCCATCTCAGGATCCAGGGGCTCCTCTCGGTCTTGCCTGCCCGTCTCCGTCTCGAGGTCCAAAGGCTCCTCCAACGACACATAGCCCGTCAGCTCAACTGAGCCCTCCCCCAATCGTAAGGCCTCCCATTGAGATACATCAAGATGAGCCGCTAAGCTTCGGAATGGTGTCTCTCTTGATATGTACAGCTCCTGCGCTGATGGCAACGGTGAGGACGATCTCAACTCTTCGCTCGTAATCCGCCGAAACTCAACTGCCCGGAGGCCACAAGCTGGGAACGACTCCTCTGCCAGTGCGGGCCCTACGGGCTCATCCTCCCGCTGTGCTGGGGCCCTCCTCTCTCTGGCCAGCCCCACCTCTCGCGGTGCCGGCTCCCTTGGCCTCTTACTCCACCGTCGCCTCTCGACCCTGGGCTCGTGCCTCTCGCGCTCTGGCTGTCCGAACGCCCTCCTGAGCTGGGCCTGACATTCCTCCCAATCTCGAGCCCTCTCCCGAATCTGTTTGGCCACCGGCCTCTCTGCCCCCCTCGTCCAGATAAGTAGGGCCTGCACCCACTCCTCCCGCGCAATCCCCTGATTCAACATGTAATGCTCATATGCGGGAATGAACTCCTTCGCGTTCCCCTCCTCCAATTGAATGGGCATGCCATCGCGCCCCCTAGGGGAAGCTCTCAACCTCTGCATCCCGGCCTCCACGTCCGGCCAAGTCAGGGCCTCCTCACATATCTGAGCGACAGGCTCCTCAAACCGCCCTATGCCCTTCAAGTGGTGGATCCTCTCCGCCACTGACCACCCTCTCTGTGCCGCATGATCCCGATATACGTCCAGGAAAAACTCTATGTTATCGTCGTCGAACTCGGGCGTAGGCTCCCGCCTAGGTGGCTCATGCTGCTCGTCCCCTCCTGCTGCCCTCTCGGGCCCCTGCCGTGGCCGTGTGTCCCTCCCGCCCCTCTACATGACTGCCTTCGAAAAGTCAGACCTGCACAACAGGCAACAGACAGCAAACAGGCACATAGCAGGGTCAGGAACCGAGCCCATTGGCCTAGGGAAATCCCACATACACTCCACACCCATCCATCCCAATCACCCACCTATCTAATCCCCTGACTTGGGTAGTACCTAGGCAAGACTATTTTCCTAACGAGGTGTCAAGCGGCCACAAGCAGTGCGCCGCCTGAAATCTGCGGCTTTGGGACTTAGACTCATAGGCAAGTCCGTGTTTTGACGATCCTCTGGTCCGACCAGGCAGCAAAAATTAGGGGACCTTTGGGCACCCTTGACTTTGGGCACATTGAACCTTACGAGTGGCCCTCAAAGATAGCGAGATGGGTGGGCGCACTCGGCGTAACTAGAGACCGTCATTTCCGCTCATTCAGAGAGCTGGAGTCGGACTGGCCTGCCGTGAGGAGGCATCGTGGGAATATACCTCGCCGCGACGCTTTTGCAGGATACGACCGGGGCCGAGATGAGACCTCGGATTTTTGTCTACCTTAGTGCCATAATTAAAGATGGGGAAAAGGGATTAAGACCATTAAGGGAGAAGCGAAAAACATAATATCCCTTAATTTCTTTATTTTTCATGACAATTAATTCTAGGTGGAATACCCTTGTTATTTTATGTTGCTGGCAATGAAATTAAAAACATAGAAAACGATAAAAAATGGTAAGAGAGAAAAGAAACAAAAGGAATTCGGCCATTTATTTAAACTGTCTCGGGATTTAATTTTGGGGATCTTACGGTTAATTTACTATTTTCGACAATAGAATTAAGGAAAGGGAAGAATGATGAAAAATGATGAAAGGGACGGGAACCCATGATTATTGGGAGATTGGCCTAACTTCGCCTCGATTACCCGCCATCAGCTCTGACCCCGGATTGAACATTTTCCCCGGATTTTAACAAGTTTTCACTACTGCCGATGGTCGAGGTTCCCTGCATCGTTTCCCCTGGTTTGCTTGATTATTAACATTACCGCAGTTGGGATGTTCTGAGAGCGGGGGTCCATGGACAGCATGCGGAGGTGCTACCATGGGTCGACTATGGTGTTTGGTTCGGTATGGATATGAGGGTTGTTACGGAGTGGCTACGTCCCACGGTGTCTGACGTGCTTCAGGTACGGTATGGGCCCGGTGACAGCTGTTTCACTACGGTGACTTATTTTCAGGTTTGGGACAGCTGCGGTGATTTATTCTCAGGACCAGGGCTACTACGACAGTTATTCCAGGCTTGGAACCTTGGCGGCAGTTTGTTTTCAGGTCCGGAAACGTTGCGGCATTCTATATCAGGCTCGGGACAGGTACGGAATTATCATGGCATGGTTGTACGGGTTCGTCATCCGCGTGGCACAGCAGCCCGGTACTGGATTTCGGGTTTGGTCAGGTACGATGGCATCGCGGTGTTTCGTTTCAGGTTCGACGCCCTTACGGCGATTTATTTCAGGTTCGGGACCTCTGCGGTGATTTATTTTCAGGTCCGGGACCACTGTGACGATTTATTTCAGGTTCGGGACCTCTGCAACGATTTATTTTCAGGTCTGGGACCACTGTGACGATTTATATCAGGTTCGGAACCTCTGCGGTGATTTATTTTCAGGTCTCCGGCTACTGCAGCGGTATATTTTTCAGATTGAGAACTGGTGCGGCGGTGTATTTTCTGGTCCGAGGCCTCTACGGTATATTAATCCAGGCTGGGAACCGCTAGGATAATTTATTTCAAGTTTGGTTTGGGGTCGGTAACGACACGGTGTGAGCCATGGCAATCCGAGCGACTATAGGAGGTTCGTCGTGAGTATTTTCTAGGCTCGGTGCAGTCCGAACTGGCTCGGGGCTGGTATGGAGTGGCAACGTTGGCACAGGGCGGATATTCTTGACATTGGTACTGCAATGGTCTGATGTGATCCGCGACGTACTGATTCGGCTCGACTGCGGCACTGGATCAGCATTCAGTTCTCCACTTGGGGAGCTTGGTACGATCATAGATGACCCATGCGATTGTTTGAGCGCAGTATTCTGCGGCGGGCCCTCGTTCTCGGATTTGACCGGTTGGTATGGATCTGGTACGGCAAGCAGTGAAATGGTTATGCTGGGTCACCGATTGGGCTGCGAGTCTGGGGCATCTTGGTCCCCCTGCTGGGGTCGATTGCTCAAGCCATCTGCGGATCTGATGTTATGCCTACTGCGTCCCTGAGTGAAACCCCTGAAGCATGGGCATTTCGACACTAATGCGGACCAAATTTCTGCCTTATCAACCCGTGCTCCTGCGCTCGTAAACCCGAGCGTGTAGTCTGTAGCAGCAATAAGCCGGTGTACCTGGTTCACATCGTGGGGAGATACACGCGGGGCCAGCGGTCCGAATACATGGTGGCTCGACTCGCCAGACGGTTAAAGGAAGCGGGGCGGGAGCCACGAATCGAGACGAGAAGGAAGTGTTGGGTCGGGGAACGGAGGATATAGGAGGGGACCAGGCGTTGTGTAAGGGATCGCATTCCAGGCGTACCCAGCGCGGAGAATGTTGCGGACCGCTGAGAACCGGGAGAGGGTTGGCGCTCAGGCGGTTACACCACAAAAGAGGAGAAAGTCTCTCTGGCATGCCGGGCGTACGCGGTCGGAAGGGCAGTTGAGTCAAGACAAGCGAACGGTGCGCGCGGCGTTCGCAGCCTCCATCGCTATCGGACGCAGGCGGAGTGCTCACGACGATCGCAGCGCGTCGGTGCTCGGTTCGGAGTAGGAGTTTGGCGAGCTGCGCAAAAGAAGTGTGTGCGACAGGCCCACCAAGGGCTGGTGAGCAGCGAACGTGCGCAGCAACTGAGATCGGGCAGGGGCGACAGGTGAAGAGAACGCGCGAAGCTGCAGAGCTTGTGGTACGTGTGGGAGAAACAGTGCGCGTTCATCCTAAACCGGCGAGGGTTTGAGTGCTCAACAGTGTCAACCTCTATAGGGTGAGATATAGAAAGGGCAAAGTTGGAGGATGAACGCGTGGAGAATCCACTCAAAAGATTTGATTATAAAGAAACAGACTACGACAGTTCCCTACTGAGAAGTGCTCAGTTTCCTCGATAACCTTGTTTAGCAGAGAATCAAGTAGAAAAGCAATGTAATCCATGGCTAAGGCAAGAGAATGCTCGGGTTTATAATCGAAGGAGGACAGGTAACTGCTCACCCGCTCCTCGCGAGAAGCATAGGGAGAAAGGTGAAAGGGGGGCTCCCAGTGAAGAGGCTGTCCCTCTTGTCCTGCCGAGAATAAGGGGGTACTGGATCTCTCATCTTGAGCGGGCGGACACAAAGAGCGCAGTAGCATTTATGTAGGTTCTCTGTCTTGTGCAGGGCAGTACCGTGGGAGAGAAAAGCGAGACCGAACCACAAAAGCGCAATGGTCTGATCGCAACTTTGACTGGTCATGTACGGGATGGTGAAAGGGGTATCTGAGCACTAATGTGTTGGTTCCGTGGGGGGGAGAGTCGAGTCGGGGAGTGCTATTCTGTTTTCTCCTTGTATGATGTACCCTCTCGTCCCTGATAACGCTTAAGTGCATTTGAGTTCGGGCAAAAGGTTTGCCTCCGTGGCGAGAGTGAGCGGAATTGCATGCGTGAAGAAGGGATCAGGGGAAATAGAGGGGTAGGCTGATCCGTTTCGCTTAAAAACGGGTCTGTGAACTGAATTACTGAGAAGGCACGTGAAAATGAGAAAGGGGGTAACGGTGCAAGTGGGAAGTGAGAAGGAGAAGAGCAAGAGGAAGTGAAAGGGGAAGAGGGAGAAGACTCTGCATGACGGGGTGAGGGAAAAACGTGGATGAGAGGGAAATTAAAGGGACGGAGTGGGAAGGAGTCCTTTGCATTAATTAAATAATTTATTAAGTTAGTCAATTTTTTTTTCTCCTCGCTTAATTTGATTGGTCGGAAATCGGTCGGCGTGATCGAAAGAACGGAAATTCCTACTTATAAACGCTCTGGGGTTATTCAGGTCTTGAAGCGAATAGTCATCTGTATTCCCTCTGCGTCAGAGTTCGTGCTTTGTCTCCTGGAACTGGTGGTTGACAACGTGAAATGACCGGAAGATGGGGATAAATTTCTCCCTCAAAATTCAACTGAGGAATGCAGTGAATGTACCCACGGGCCATCGATCACAACCCCCAGCGAGGTTACCTGCTCCCATACACTAGTTCGGACCTTTTCAGCAAGTCAGTGAAGTCTCAAGTAATTACAAGTTTGTGTGACCCCTCCCCGGGTTTCCTCACACCTTACCTATTCCCTGGCCACGAACTTCTTCAGCATTGTCCCTGATACCCAATCCTGCCACCCTGCCCCATCCGACTCTTCAATTTGGTAGGCCCCAAACTCGCCACACCGCACGATCCTATATGGTCCCAGCCACCGCTTATCTAGCTTCCCGGACCATTGTTTTTCAAGCAAGGAGTCATACACATCTCCAACCTTCAACGGGTCCTTCCTTATTAGGGCCATCTGGTCCCATGTCATCTTGTCCTCCATACGACTTCTCTCTACCTGACCAGCGGCTTCTCGTAACCTTTCCTCAGCGGCTCCCACCTGCCGCGCCCGTATATCGAGCAGTTCTTCGAAAGATAGATTCACTTCCAGGTCTTGGCGCCTCCACGTCTTCATGAAACTTTCTATGGGAAAGGTAGCGTGCCTTTCGTACCATAGTGTGGCTGACGCATACTTGGTGGTCCTTTTCACTGTAACATTTTCCACGAAGAAAGTTGCTCTCAGGAACTTTGGCCATTTGTTGGGCTTCCCCTCAGTCCACTTGGCCAGGAGATTTGTGATGGTACTATGCCCCCTCTCCACAGGTGCGTTTGCCTGGGGGTGCGAGGTAGTAGTATAGTTTGCTAACACGCCGTACCCCGCAAGCAAGGTCCGCACCTCGTTACAAGTGAACTCCGACCCCCGGTCCATCACAAACTCTCTGACAAACAGATAGCGCAGGTAGTATTCTTCGCTGCACCTTGCTAAAATTGGGCCAGTTTTTGTACGAATAGCCCGGCCGTCCACGAACCCGGTAAGGTTGTCCCGTGCGTCAAAGATATAGTTACTTCCATCCTCCCCGAGTGGCATAAACAACAGGTCCACGTATACGACTCCGCCCACTTCCCTTTCCAGCCTGGGGTGCAAAGGCTCCCCAGGCCTTTGCGGTGACCTCTGCTGGCAAGGTACACAGGACTGGCAGTACTTCATGGCCATAATCAGCATTCTGTCCCAATGGTATAGCTCGCTTATCTTTGTGCATGTGGCACTAACCCCTCTGTACCCCCTTGCTATACGATCGTGTAGGGCTGCCATGACATCGATCTGCCGGTTCCTCCCACATACGATCCTCTTGGGGTTCCCAACCTGTCGCTTTATAAATAAATGACAATCTCTTACTACGTAGAGATGCCTCATCTTCTGGGCTTTAGCGCTTGCATCCCTATCCCTTATCTCACATGACAGGAGTAACCCCAGTTCCCGATAGATCCCGTCATACTCCTCAGCGCGGAAGGCCTCCCTGATCTCTCCCTCTTCGAACTCGTCGTCCTGGCGTTCAGGAATGAGAAGTTCGTTCTCCTCAGGGCCGGTTGAACTCCTTTGATTAAAGTTCCCCTGCAGGAGCGTATTAGTGAGCAAATACATCCCTCCCATTAATTGCTCATGCTCCTCTACCTGGTTCGGGCCTGCCTCTATCGTCCTTACCTCCTCCGCCAGACTATGTGTACTTGCCAATGCCAGCTTCATCATCCAGCCAACATCGCTACTCCCCCACGGATCTTCCTCCTGGAAAGGCTTGAGGACCAGCTCCCCCTTTCGCTCGTACCTCCTTGGTGCTAGCCATATGGGATGCGTGACGCAGCTAGGCACCCTCAGCGACCACTCATTTATGTGGAGGCGGACATCCTCCTCCTGGTCCAAGAACCCGTCAACTGGTGGGGTATCCTCAATTGACTCCTGGCTCGCCCCATCCCAGTTGATACGGCTCAGCCCATCCGCCCTGTTCTTGCCCCGGGAATCCTCTCCAACTCAAAGTTAAACATCCAAATGTAAGTCAACCACCTTGCGATGGTTGGGTCAGATGGAGTATAACTTTTCAGGGAACACGCAAGTGCAGTAAGGTCCACCCTCAAGATGAGCCTCGTGCCAAAAATATAGTTCCTGAAGGTGCTCAGGCAGTGGAGTACCTCCAGCGTCTCCTTTTTAAACTGAGAGTAATTCCTCTCAGTCGTATTGAGGGTACGACTTTCAAACCTTAGCGGCCTCTCCTTCCCATCCGCATCTGTCTGAATCAGGACCCCTCCCAAGGCAGTTGGCCCAGGGTCCGTCCCGACAACAAAAGTCCTTTTTCTCCGTAGCCTCATAATTTGGCGCTCCCAGCACTAAGCCTCCTTCCTTGAATTCTCCCTTCATCCTCTCGACAACCTTTTCCTGGTCCTTGCCCCAGACCCATTCCTGATCTTGACGCACCATCTTCCTCAAATGCTCTGTCTCGGTGGCGAAGTCCTTCACAAAACGCCTCAAAAACCCGCAGGTCCCAAGGAAGCTCCTCACGTCCGTTATCGACTGGAAGGGGACTGGCCACTCTAGGATCTTGTCCGTCTTCTTCACATCTGGCCTCTGCCCTTTCTCGTTGCAGACAAAGCCTAGAATTGTGGCTTCCCTCATACAATGCTTCGACTTGGGGCCACTTGCCGTCGTGTTGTGTTCTTCCAGCAGACCAAGAACCTGATCAATATCCTGGATGTGCTTCCAGACGAATCTCCTCACTCCCGGCATCACTTCGTCTTCCTCCTTCTCCTTTGGACCCTTGACCACCAAATCGTCAATGTAGGGCTGAGTGATATGTGGACTAACCGTCTGCATGACCCTAATCATGTGCCTTTGCACCATTGCCACCGCATTAGTCCATCCCTGAGGGACCACATTCATATGGATCAGCCCCCTTGGCGTATGCATTGCCGTCAGTGGCCTATCCGGCGGGTATACAGGAAACTGGTCATACCCCGAATAAAGGTCTATAAGTAAAATTATAGGTCTTCCTGCGCATGATTCTGATAAAGGTCTATAAGTAAGATTATAGGCCTTCCTGCGCATGATTCTGACAAGGCGTCCACGTTCCGCAAACCTCCCGTGTTTCGCAGCGTTACTGCATTCAATCGCTGCAAGTCGTGCACCCACCGTAACGTCCCGTTTGGCTTAATAAAATAAAACCAAGGGGAAGCATACAGCCCACTAGAGTAGTCTGCCACGTACGTTCGCATCTTTCCGTCCAGGTAGGCCACCACCTTCCTCTCCTCGTCCGGGTTCGGATATCGCTCGCCCCTCAGGTTCCACGGCTCGTGCGGGACGGTATGGATTCGTATCATTAGAATCTTATCCACGTCCAACCTTCCACGCTCGTCGCCATTAAACGCATACGCGCAATGCCACCTCTTCATGGTCTCCACCATCAAGGTCCTCTCCTGGGGCGAAAGGAAGCCAGGCTCGCCAATTATCAGCTCCTCCTCGTTCTCGTCATTAATACGGCACGACCCTGCCTGTGCACGTTCCCACATTCGTCTGATCAGTCCCCACTCCCGCTCATAATAGGCCTCTTCATCCTCTGTAACAAGTATGGGGACCGGGCGGCACTTCTTATCTATAGTCTTGTACAGCCTTTGGGAGCCCTGCTTAAGCCCTCCCCTAAAAAAGGTTGACTTGTCGTTCGGGCCTGGGCCATCGCAGGGTCCCGTTTCCTTCCTGGAAGCAAATAGATCAGTTCCACTTCTCCCACCTGAGGGTTCTCTAGGACCTGCTCCCTCAATGCCTTTATAGGTTCAGGGTCCGCCATATCATGCGTCGCCACCACCTCCATTGCCTTATTCACATCGTTAAGGCTCAGGGACAATACCTCACCCGTTCCTTCCTCCTCTTGCTCCCCCCGGAGTCTTGGTCGCGCGTACTCAGACTCTTTGAAGGTGAAGGAGCCGAGGTTGAGCCTATTCCTCGCACTTCCGGGCCCTGTGTTTCGGCACTTAATAATCTCGTAATTCCCGCAGGTCGGATCGGATAGAGCCAGGATCATCGTCCTCTCATAAGTGTTGAAGACCAAGGTCTCTGTTCGGCAGAGGAACGACCTCCCTAGAAGGATAGGGTGGTCGACATCAGGCATGATGAAGAAGCACGTTCGCGCCCTTACCCTCCCGATCTCCACCATCACATTCGACGCAGTGCCGCAGAAAATGGCCTTGCAGTTGGCGCCATGCAGCACGCCATGGTCCGAATGGTCAACTTCCAGCCCTAACATGGTCGTGTCCCGCTCCCGGATGATATTCATCTCAACGCCCGTGTCCACCATTGCGATGCTCGGCTGGTCTCTCACATTCAGATCCACCAACATACATGCCACACACTTCCTGTCCATCCTGGTGCCCGCCTCTGTCCACTCTATCTCCCTGGGCAGAGTTGAGCTCAGGTGGACGTTGGGCACTAACCTTCGCGAGAGCCGCCCTTTCAACTCGCCACGGAGCCTCGGTGCCGACGCCAAGATGTCTTTTAGATTCATCAAATCGTTGTGGCCCTCCAGGAGCTTATCCACCATTCGCTCCACGTCAAAACCTTCCTCCAGCCGGACTGCGTACTTCTTCCTTTTTGGCACGCCATCGTGCAGGCTTGGCTTCGCCCCTCCCTGAATTCCTCTCTTCTTGGCCCTCTGCTCGGCTCGCTGGTCCTCCTCCTGCCGGAGCCTCTCATCCCCTTCGTCATCACCCTCCTCTTCCTCCTCCTGAACCTCCACCACCTCTTTCCTTCGTTCAGGCTCTGGTTCCATTCGAGGAGGCGCCCGGCCAGGTGCCTGGCCGGGTCCTTGACTAGCGGTAGCCTTGCTTTGGCCCCTAGTCTGCACGGCATGTGGCACCCTTCCATGCGACATAGGGGGTCGGAAGGTCATCCCTGACCTAGGACCCGCCCCGGCCGTCGCCACGCTTAGACACCCTTGCGGTCCTGGTGATGACTCCGGGCCGGACCCATAGAGCATTACTTCAGGAAGGTTCATTTTTCGATCCCGGGCCTCTTCCTACATCACCCTTGATCACTCCTGGTACCTGCCGACTTTTGCAAGCAGGTCCTCCATCCTTTCCAGGATGGTCGAGGCGGAGTCTCTCACCACCTCAGTGCCTCATCGTCGGACTCAACAACTATAGGCTCCTCCTTTATAGTTCCTGCCTTTAGTTGTTGAGTCACCTCCTCGTTTTCGTCCACAATCTCCTCAATTCTCACACCCAGATCGTGCCTTTCTTGCCATATTCTAAACATAGCCGGGGCTGCTGGCGGCCCTGCTGCCGCTCGCCTGAGGGCTTCCTGCCTGATTCCTCCCGGAGTCTTGGGATCGATGTGCTTTCCCCATCGATCATATATGTCCCCGTCCATACAGGAGGAAATCAGTCCTGCCAGCTCGTCGTCCCGCCGCTGTTGGCAGAATCGTACGGTGTGGCCCACCTCGCCACACTGCCAACAAGTTGCGTTCCGCCAGTCGAAGCGGGGCCTCCCGTACCCTTGCCCCCCCCCCCTGGCTGCTTTGGCCACCTTGGTTCTAGCCCCCCTGACCACTCGAACCTCCTCCACGGCCTCCACCATTTCCCCCTCGCCCCCGGCCGCCCCCTCCTCTACCCCCTTGGTCCCGGCCCCCATTGCCCTGCCCGCCTTGTCCTTGGCCCCCTCCCCCGGCCACACTAGCTTGCGAGGCCTGTTGGGAGGGTGGCGGTAGAGCCACAGGCAGGCTTTGAGTCGCCGGGTAGCTCGGGGGGCCCATACCTGCTGATGGGCCCGAATAGGGGACCATGTGTCCCGTGTGGGCCTGGCTCCCTCGACACGAGACAATGTGGTTGCAACTGGGCCAAGGCGCGGACTGACAATGCGGCACCCAGTGCCCGCAAGCTGGTGGCGGCCCCATGTGCGACGGTCCTGTTGGCGCAGGCGCGGCCGCGGCGACAGGGGGTGGCGCGGCAATGGCTTGGGGAGCCTGCCCCTTCCCTGACCCCTGCCTTCCCTGCAGCAGATTGCGCTGCTTCCTCTGGGCCTTAGTCAGGACTTGGGAGCCCGTCTCCCCTCCGCCGTAGTCTTCTTGCCCAGCCTCCTCATCCACTGCCCCTGACGCCCGGCCTTGGGCCATTAGCACCCCTCTTTTCTGTATCTCTGCTTCGTTATCATACCCCAGTACCGCCAACACGTCCGTAACAATTCTCTTCACCCCCGGGGTCCCGGATGCGGTAGCATCCCTCTCCTTCCTCTTGCGCCTTTGCAGCCTCATTTGGTGCTGCTCCACCTGGTCCAGGCTCCCTTCTTCCACTCCCTTGTCAATGGTTGCCCAGGTGAGCCTCTCGCTCCCTTCCCCATACTTGGTCAGCTCTGTGGCCTCCGAGCCTGTAAGCAGCCCCAAAAATGTGGCGCACTGCGCCTCCTCAGAAATCCCGTGCACTTTCCTCGCCTTTTCCTTAAATTCGTGCACGAACGCCCCAATGGTAGAAAAGTCTTCCTTGTTCATGGCCTCCAAGTTGGCCATGGTTAACAGGCCATCCCCCAGCCTATACTTCCTTCGCATTGGGTCCCCAAACTTTGTCCAACTGCCCCCGGCGGCATCCACGACCTTACTTACTTCCCGATGGTGACTATGCAGGACGTACCTCAGGACCCGCTGGAGCTTGACCTCATCTGACAGCCCCACCAACACCTGCTCTGTCAGATCCAACCAGTCAGATACCCGATCCCGCTTGAAGTGAAATGTCTCAACCTTTGGGATATTGCTTGGCGCCCTCTCGCGCTTGTCCAATGCATCGATGAGATCATCAATCGTCACGAGCCTCCTCCCACCGTCCGCCATTGCCTCTGGCATCCTGATCAACCGTCTCCGGCTTTGAACTTCCTGTTATAAAAACGGTAGAACGAAAAGACTCCACTCAGCGACTCAATCCTTCACGTCCCCGATGCTCTAGACCTGGCAGACATCTCTTTTCTCGTTCTCCCTTAGGCCTACCTAGATAATGCCTATCCTCACCATAAAACCTCCTTACACACTTGTTTTATTCAAGCCGTCAGTCAAGCCGCCAATCAATCGATCATTTAACTTACGGTCATATAGATCACCATACAATCCATCTCATAGTCTTCCCCTTACTCACCTATATGCCTAGTTTCTCCCTCATTCCCATACCCGGATGTCGTTCCACCAGGGACAACGGTAGGCTTCCGTTATCCCCGGCTACGTCGCCACCCGTCGAGCGCATCGATCCGGCACCGCACACAGTGGCGCGGGACCCTCTTCGCCGCGTCACACAGGAGTTGGATCAATCTCGACATAACACGCAAATGGAGCTTTCTTAGGCCGCTCCGACCGAGTGCGCCAGCCATACCTCTCGCGAGCCCCTAAAACAGGATACGGCCTACGCGAGGCACGACTTACCTCCACCTTATGGGAGTTGTCACCTCCCATCGGTGGGTGTATCCCTGCCGAGCTACCAGTCCACAATACGAAAGCTAATCAGTTGCAATCGCAGAGGTGGACCAACCGAGGGCGTTTCTCGTTCGCTGTAGCATAGGGGGTACGCGAGGTAATACGCTTATCAGTCCCGCACGCGAGCCGACATCTTGGGGGGCTGAAATCCCAAGTGCGACTCGACATCGGTCGACTAGGACGCATCCTACACACCACGCGCACACCACCTCTACGAACAAAAAAACAAAATACACACACACGCGCACACGTACGTACAACGCGACGCAACACGAGCAACGCACCAACGCTCTTAGCCCCTCGGTAGCCGTCCCATAACTCCCTGATGCAGAAATCGAATAGGCGTCGTGCGCAAGACTTAATATAAACTTCGCAGACGTGGGGGTTAACTCATATCGACTTGCAATGCAAGCGTACGCAAGCAGTCGCGATGACGGCGTACTATGTGGTACCCACACTCGTGCGGCCCTCGTTAATCTCAAGGGTCGCGTTCGACACTCAAGTGTCAGCTGACACGCGCCTTGAGGGTTAATCTCTCGACGCCAGACAACCACCGTGTGCGGTTGAAGACCACACACCCTCTTCTGCACCCTTATGCATAGTGGGTGGTACACAGGTCTATGCCTGTGGTGTTAGTCGTCTCACGCGGCCTTAGGGGTAAGTCCTTCCCAGGCTTGGGCGAAAGTCAAGGGGTTTGACTTTGACGGCTGCCACGGACTACAACGTCCAACCATAATAATCCTTAAAAAGCAAACAGAGCACACACGAAA